ATCGCTACTAGGAGCAAGGACGCTACGAACGGAACAAAGGGCATCGCAACACGAAAGAACTTCATCTCAGAGTCTTTAGGCTTTTTCAACCCGCCGCTTGTCACGCTTGCCATCTCAGGCCTAATCGGCAGCTTGGAGCAGGCCCTGTCCCCTTTGAGGTTGACAGGGCCTGAAGGAGATTGATGGCACACTTTGGCACCATCACGGTCTCCTAGATCAGGCATGCCCAGTGCCCCTTCACAAATGTTGATTGGTGATGTATGCATGCACAGTTGAGATGATGAGTTCTTGTACCCGCTCAAGTCACAGAGGGAAGGCGTTGAAATCATGGGCTTTGTAAGCTGGCCTGCCGTGCTGTGCAATGTTTGTAAGGGGCTGGTGAAGCTATGCTTGCTACCATAACCTCATCTATGTCAAAATGATGTCACATGCCCACCGCTTGTCTACGCCTCTCGGTCAGAGACCACATTTTGGCAAATCAAACGCCTTCCATCATTCTTTTGGCCTGGCCAAAGAGGCCAAAAACCATCAAACTGTAGAGTCATTTCAGAGTCATTCAAGCACTGTCAGCGCACAATGTTGGCTTCCCGCCGGCCTTCTTCAGGAGCATTAAAATACACATCATTGTCAGGCACACGGAAAATGCAGCCAGGTGGATCTGCCCTGAGCTTATTTTTGTGAGGATGCTGTGGCAGAGTCCCAACAAGTACAGTACGTCCTCGCACCTTCGGCACAAATACACTTGTATACCAAGTCCATGTTCTCAAGATCAGTTTATCCAGAACAGGCGCTGCAGCTAGTGTCTCTCCAAGTCTCTCTTGGTACAGCTCGTCTGTGTAAGCCAACCTCTCTGAAGCAAATATGCCTTTAAAGCATACTACATGAAGCATGGTTGAAGCGATTCCACCTGGCAGCATGCCCTGCTGCTTGCTGCAATGACAAGGTATCAGGAAGGCAGCCGCAGGTGCGAACCACAAAGCAATGCTTGATTGAACTGCAAGCAAGAGGCTTCTTGTTCAACTTGTTGGCTGCATCTTGACATTGGTCTACCTCACGTCAACGCCTCTAACCAGTTGACTGTGCCATTGCCACTGCAGAAAAAAATCACAAAGGTTGACCCTACCATAGTAATTTTAGCCGGGCGGGGTGCACATGTTGCCTTCAAAAAGCCAGGCCTCTGAGCTTCTTGATGATACTTTTGGACTTTTAGAAAATAAAATTAACACAAACAAGAAAACAGGTAGATCAGGGAAGGGCACCACATATATATATATATATATACAAATATCCTTGACATGTATGCGCATATAAATATAAATAATCATATAGATAAATAGATAGATAGATAGATAGATAGATAGGTAGATAGATAGATAGACAGACAGATAGATAGATAGATAGGTATAACATTAAATTATATAGCTCTAGAATCTAGTATCATTCAACAATCTTCCAACAATCCTGCTGAGCTCGATCATTCCAGTCAGTCACAGGCACGGAGTCTAACTTCTTTGTCTCGGCAGGGCAAGTAAGGGTGGCATCATCCAGAAGCGTGTAACTGGCCTTATGAAGGTCAATAGGTCTGAACTGCTGTATGCACTAAATATGTAAGTGATTTTTGGGTACCTCTTCAAAGGGCATATTTTGAGAACTGCTTGTGACTCGGTTTTGTACAGTAATGTGGACCCTGTTTATAGAGGCCGTCAAAATTCAAAAGCAGTGACCCGAAGGTCATTGAGACAGCAACTCCTTTAAATGCTAAGGTCACAGCCAATGGGTCAACGGGAGCGGCAGTAGGCTGCCAAGAGTCGGCACCTGGAAAACAAAGAAAACAATAACAACCCTCGTGCACAAAGCAACCAAGACCAATGCCTATCTCTCTACAAAGGGAAAGACAGCCAAAACAGGATCATAGGAATCCTGTAAGACAGCAACCAACCTCTCCCACGCATGGCGCCAGGAACACAAAGCCATGGTAAATCACCTCAAGAGTTTTCCAGGTAGAAGATTGCGAAGTCGAAGCACACTTGCAGATTAGACACCCACAACATGTTCAAGATTTTTGAAGACACTGAACTGTGGTCGTATGTGGCCGTAAAGTATTGACAAGCTTGAAAACCCCTCAGTGTGAACAATCACAAAAGTACCTCCCAAGAAACGAGGGGAAAGGAGCTGCAGTCCTGGTTATGCTGATTGCTTCCTAGCCGCAGGGTTTCGTCTGCATTTCTGGATGATGCCTGCCGGAAGGGTAAGGAACGGCAAAACAAGAGAGCCATCCCAGCACTTCGACTGTGGAATTGATTATCAGTGGTTGAAGTTGAGGTATCCCCACCCGGGGCTTGTTGCACTTGTTGCCACCTCTCCTTCCCACAAGTCTCCTACGGCTGTTGGAGCTCCAGGCCTTTGCAGCAGCTTCTCAGAGAGATGAAAAGGAATACTATTTGTGCATCTGGCCTTGGTGAACAAGCTTCACCGCTTTGAAGTCGATCCAATCATGCAATCTTCCCGACAAAAACACCTCTCAAAAACTCAATGTGCGACTGAATCGTGCCCCTGCACCGGCAGCACAAAGCCCAACAGGCACTGTGCCGTTCAGGCAAGTTGCGGAGCCCCAAAGCTCCAAATAGCGGCTGTGATTGTAGCAAACTTGGCACACACTCGAAGAGTATGGCCCTGATGTCATCTCATACCTGAGAGGAGAAATACTGTAGATGCTTTTAGCACAGTTCTCTGCCTTGGCCTCATTGAGGCAACATGATGCAGCTGTGTTTGCTTAATCTGCACCAGGCACCCACCACTCTTGAACAACTTTGCATCCTGCAATGGTCAAAATACAGCACCACAAGCACCACAGAACATGTTCGTGCAGAACAAACATTGCGTAAGAATTTGAACGACGGCCGTGCAAATTCTCTATTCACTGGTCGAACAATCTTCCACAGCGCTATCCAAGGCCACTCAACAACTGACTCAAAACACATGACACACAGCGTGGCACAGCGTGGGCGTTGGGTCACAAATCCTGCTTGGCCAACTTTAGGTTGTAGGTCGGCTTGCCGCCCGGATAGCAGGAACAGTAGTGCTTGAAGGTTGCATCTCGAGCGCCCGTCAGCGGCTGATACTTATCTTTGTCCATCCTAAAACAAGGTTGGGTCTTAGGTGCAGTGCACAGCTTGAATCGAAACGGCAATTCTCAAACACTATGTAACCGTAACCGTGATGTTGCAAGCCTGATCTTTCGGAACCTGCCTCCACAGGATGCAGCTTTTCAGCCTCAAGAGTTCCTACTGGGAGATGCCAAAAAGCGGTGCCGTCAAGCTTCTGGGCGGCATCCTCCCATGGCTCAATTACCCATCCTCGCGCAGCAAAGGCGTACCTTGAAGCGACTGTTGTAGCATTTGCAGGGGGCCTCCAAACAAAACATTATCAACGTCTCCACCCAAGTGTAAGTGCTTGAAGCAAGTGTGGAAATACTAGCCCATTGCTCCGGCAAAAACAGCTTCAGGGCAACACAAAGCAACCTGCCAAGGTTCTGCAAAGCAAAGTCCGAAGAAAAAATCTCCTTGCTCAACTTCTCACCTGCGGGTGAGCAAAGTACAGAGCCGCAAATGGCAAAGAGCAGCATGGAGCTTCTACACCAGCGAAGGGAAAGGTCTATAATATATATATATATTTATAAAGAGAGAGAGAGAGAGGGAGAGAGATAGAGCTGGCAAATCTGGCAACCCCTTGGCCAAACTTTCACCACTTCCATCCGATGCGCCTAAGTAGTTCCAGTCCAGTTTCATCATGCTTTCATCGGAAAGAGCATCCTTGCATGTGCTCAAGTGCAAGCACACCCTCCACTCCCAAACAAAGCTAGTCTAGAGCATGAAAGTGGTGAACAAGCTAGCCAAGCTAGTCCCTCACAGTGTGTCAATCATCATGCAGAAACAGGCAAAGATTAGGAAATGCCTTATGCAGTGGTAAAGCCTGTGGCGTTCCATTAGGAACTCCTTTGGAGAAACCACTCGGAGTGCCAGGCACGGCTGAAATTCAGCTAACCTGAGGCTAACCTGGACAAAAGAGTCGCCCTTCGTTCTCTCCAGGGCAATGTCTCACCAAGCAACATGCATTGCTCCTTTAGGTTGCTTTGGGTTGGTACATGAACGTAGGGCGTGCCGCACCAACAAGGCACTCAAAAGCACACAGCAGTGCAAAGCTTGTCCTGGAAAGTCTTGAAATGTAAACAACTTCAGCCCGTCTGCCGCACAGTTTCTAACCGCAAAAACAGAACATTGCAAGAGCTTCCTTCCTCTTCGCGACCCAATGTGCAAAGGCAACAGGACTAGGGTGGAGTTCAAAAGGGGGGGTTGGGAGGCCCTCCCGAAGCCTGATTTCTCAGGGGCTAGGTCACAGGTCTTCAAACATCTTCTGCTAAAGCAATCAAACTCCAGCTAGCTTCACCAGCTTTCGCGAATGCACCAGTGGGAGCAAAAGGTTGCATGAACATGGCTTCTGAAGGATTGTTTGGGTGAGATCAACTGGCCCTGCGTCGGAGCTTCAAGGATGGCTTCTCGCTTGAAATAGGCTCCACCACAAAGTCCCGAAGACATGCTCCGCCTCTGTGGCTTCTGTTTGGGGCACAGGACAACTGATACAATTATATAATTGTTTTGTTATCAGAATCCAGCGAACTTGGTGCTCCAACGATGTCCATTTGAAGTTGGGAACACGTTGCTTTGCCATCCTTTCCTCAGTGGTTCTAGACTTGACTTTGGAGTGTCAGTGTCTTGCCAAAAAGGACGCGATGTCTTGTCAACACATTTCAATGGTCCAGCCGTGCATAAAAGCTCTTGCTCAACTCGCTCACACATTGCATGTGCTGAACCGAAATTTCTAGCCCAGCTTCCACGTACTTCACCAGTCCAAATTGGCGACTGGTCCTGGATTCAGTGCAGGAACATGACAGTGAAAATTGATCCAATTCCCTCACTTGCTTCATGCAGTCAGTGTGCACTAGCAAACCACCCACATCTGCAGGTGGAGGCCGCTTGACATAGCTGTGCCTGAAGAGGACAGCAATTGCATAAAAACATCTCCAAACCCTGGTGGCAAGGAAGCATATCAGTGTACACTCACGCTGCTTCGCCCCGTCCAAGCGTTTCTTTCAAGAAAAGATGTGTATATATATATATATATGTATATCAGATCGTTGTATTGGATTTAATTGCTGCTTGCCAATCTTTGCTACGCTTGATGCTGCAAGTGCTGAGCATTCCCGAATCAGCAAGAGTGGTTTGTCTTCCAGGATTTCTGCCGTACTGCACGTGCCACCACAAGCTCCGTTTTTGGGGGTGCCTCACTTCAATTGAATTGTTGGAAGTTCCCGTTCCAACTGCTACGAGTGCCATTTCCGACTTAATCTCCAACCCTATATAACTATAACTGTGCATATACAATAATGTCCACCGTCATGGGCTGGCTTGCTCATCAAAGGAGCACAGTGTTGTCCGGTTCCAGCATAATGATGTACTTTGTGTTCAAACCTCGGGTAGAGCTGGATCCAATCGCTGGAAGCACGCGCAGTCTAACAAACTCTCACTGCAGTTACTAGTAGGCTCACTAAGCCTGACTCAAGCTGGACTGAGGTGAAAGCTCACAGCTGCATCGTACAAGCGCCGAAAGAAGGGCCATGGATGCCAGCGATCGTTCCTTGGGACACTCCGCGAGGGCGTTCCATTCCTTGCTCCTAGTAGCGATGCCAGGAGCCCCGTTCGTAGCTTCTTGTTACTAGTACGGCCAGGAGCCCCTAGTGCTCCTAGTAGCGAACTTGTTCAGAAACAGGTTCCACGTAGTTTCAGAATGTTGCAATGCTGTGTTGATGGTGATTGCGTGTTGCCGTTCCGGTGGATGGTTTTCTCTGATTGTGGTTTTCACCCGGAACCTCTGCAAGGTCTCTTCTGCATGGGGTGAAGAACTGCAGGTCCCTGAAATTCAAAAGGAAACTGTCCATTTCGTGGGTTAAGAAGTGTTCAAAGGGTGGTGTGCTGATTCTGTACCAGAGTGGACGGAAAGACGGACACACTATGTTACAGCACATTCACAGATTGCTTATTCCTCTTCATCCCTCGTATATCGCTCTTTGTCTGAAATTGTGAAAGGTTGCAACACTGGTAAATGCTAGCGCTAGCTAGCTATCATTGAATACAACCTGGCAGCCAGGGCTCGCTGGCGGACACAAAACGAAAGTGCACCCCTCCTGGCCATTGGCTGAACAGGAGTGCTAATTACTATGCCGCACGGTCGATGCCTACTGTGCGACCAGTTTGGAGCTGTGAAGACAATGCGAACGAAAGGCATCAACCTGTCGTCAACTGACAGGATCGCACCTTCTCGCACAAGGCACTGAAGTCGAGGCCTCCGTCGCTCATGACGTAAATCCTGAGTTCCGACTTGCTTCCGTGTACCTCTTGACTTCACACCGGCGTGGCACTGTAGGTCATCTCTTTCCACTACTCTCTCAGATGTGCATGTCTCCCAAATGCTGAGAAGACTTCTGAAGAGTGCAATCAAAGCCACGGAGACCTTGGAAAGAACTTCTTCACCTCACGGACCTTAGATGACTGAAAGTCAGAGACGAATCATGGGGTCTTAGAGTCTTACAGTTCAACACCTGCAATTTAACGGGATTGATTTAGGGTCGGGTACCTTCTTCATTGATAAGGGGTTCTCTGAAGAAACTCAAAACATAGGTGCCCAAAACGATCTTGCCGATCCTGCCCTCACCAATTCACCTGGCCTGATAAATCACTGCCGCAGGATCTCCATAGACATGCAAATAGAATCCGTACCTCTGGACATCGCAATCTCTGCAACCGGCCCAGTGCAGTTTCGATCAGAACCCGCAAGCTTTTCCTGACGGCGCGGCATTCTACTGCGTCGGACGAACAGGCACCATTGGCCTGCTTCAGCTTGGCTTGGCCAAGTGTTCGTTCAAAAATGCATTCAAAGCTTTCCGAACCTGACCCGGTTGTCCTCTAAAGACATGGCCAGCCACAGTGTGCTGTCACAAACGGCATCCAGGGATGCTAATGCTTGACTCATCAGGGAAGGTATCCAAGAGTTTTCACACGGCTGGCCATGCCACGAGAAGCAGTGAAGCGCTGCTAAGTCTTCCTGAGCACCTCAGCTTGCCACGCGCGCGCGCACACGCACACACACACACACACACACTTAGATGGTTGCTCGCAAGAGCCAGGATCGGAATGAAGCCCCCTTGACTTGAAGAAACTGAAAGGTACACAAACCGAAAGGTGAAGAAGTCCGTATAGTTGAAGGTGTTGAACAATTTGTTTGATTGCATTAGCCGCTTACTGCGAAACACAGGATTGGACAGCTTGTTCAACCGTTGAAAAAGAGTTAAAAGGCAGGTACACACTCAGGCGTCCCTGGATGCTTCCACCAGTCTTCCGTAGCTTCGTTGGGCAACGTAGGAAGACCGGTCGTTGCCCCCCTGCTGCTGCACAATGGAGAAGTGATAGAAGCTATTAGGAAGTGACGACGTCTCAAAACCTGCGGGTTATGGAGTATAAGAAGCCTTAGGAACAGGTGGTGACACACACACACACACACAGGGCCGTGGTCGGCGCTCGTTATCGATCAAAGTTTCAGGGTCCAGCTTCAGGGGTGACGAGGGTCAAAGCTCGGACTTTTTTCGTAGTGCTTGCTGCCGACATCTGTGAAAATCATGTCCTGTTTGGACGTAGAGATCTGCTAGCTGAGCGAGCGCTCGCTCGACTGCCGAGGACGGGTAGGTGTACTTTCGGATGAGATGTGCTCTGGAATGAAACCCTGAAAGTCGTAGGTGTGTGGAGCCAGCGGAAGCTTGATCGCGAAGTTTCCATGAGACGTTTGGGGAGATGTAGGTGATAGTACAACGGTCCACGTCGAAGCCAAGAAGATGCATATCGTCCACCGGTTCAAGTTCAACAGGGTTGCCGTAGAAGTCGGGGTGAACCAGGGTCTGAATGGCCATGTGGGTGAGGAAGGTGCGGTTGAAGGCGATGAAGCGGTTGTCCACGTAGCGGTAGTAGACGAAGTGGATCTCAGTGCGGTCCGTGAGGGAGTGGTGGAGTTGATGCCATGAATGTTCGATTAATGTGATGGCGTCATTGCACAGCGCGGGAGAGAGCTGAGAGCCAATCCCAGCTCCTCGAACCTGCAGGAAGTACATAGCACAGGCCTTGAAAATGCAAGAATCAAGAGCTAGTGCTACGATAGTAGTGACGTCGCTAGTGTCCAGGGTGCGTTGGGTAGGATGTCGGCGGCGGTGTCTGCCGATGTGGGCCAGTTGGATGGGATCGCCAGTTGTGTGTGTGTGTCAACTGTAATGGTGGGGGTGGCAAATGTATGCTGCCATCGGTTGACCAGGCTCTGAACAGGGTCCACCAGGCGATCTTGAGGAACCGAATTGAAGAACCCCACAAGGTCATCATTCACAGCGTAGAGATCGACGTGATCGGGCGGTGGAGGTACTCGTGGAAATGCCCCATAGCTGAGGTATCGATAACTGGCCTGGTGACTGAGGTAGGAGCCGGTAGGTCATGGTGTTGAGCACGTTGGATGTGACACGGAGCAGTGGTCCATAGTGGGATTTGTAGCAAGAGATAATGGTCCGCCCTTTCTTCCATTGCTTTTTGGCTTTCAAATGGACAACTCCAGAAGGCATGTTGAAGTTGTTGAGGAAGGCCCCACTTGTACTTTCTGCGCAGGTTGGCAGGGAAGGTCTGCTGGATGATCCGGGGAATGGTTTGGTCGGTATCGTCGGGAAGTGGTTGGAAAAGCTCCGGTGATTGCCACGTGGCCAAGCATCCTTGAAAGTAGATTCGAGGGCAGAAAATACGGAGGTGTTGTAGTTCGTGATCTGCATGGTGGAGGACCACTGTATCGCCAAGAAATTCTTGTAATTGTTTGAGGGATCTGGCGGTGAAGCGGTCTTCGTGTTGCAGGTGATGTGAGTGTTTGGTCCATTGGGTGGTGAGAAAGCGTCGGCGTGTTGGACCAGTGATGTTGGTAAGCCGTGGGGCCGTGATGCTTCAACCATTTTTTTGAGGTTGTGTCGAAAAGTCTCCCAATAGCGACGTTTTGTGGGGAAAAAACGTGCTGGTCATGCTGGCGTTGAGGAAACGACGCATGTGGCCGGGAAGCTGTAGATCTTCCAGTGTCACAATCAAATGTTCATCAGTGGGGGGCGTGTATGCGGGGGAAAGAAGTTGGCGGAGGTGGCTGCATCCGCATGGTAGTTGGTCTGCATGAGGAGGATGGTGAAAATGATCTTCCCACTTGCGGTGGTTGTGCAGGCGACTGCGTAGCGTGGAATGAGCAGCTTCTCGTAGCCGGCAGGTGGGGAGGTGGAGGGGGATTGCAAACTGCTTGTGTTGGTTGAGAAGTGAGGCGAGCCATCGATGAGTATCGGCTTGGAAGTCGGTGTGGGCCAGGAATGGGATGGTCAGGGGAAGGTTGCTCTTGGGCGGTGTGAGGTTGCGAGAATTCAATGCTTGGTTGATGAGGTGAATAGCTCGACTGCGTCCAGGTTCTTCAAGACTGGTGGCCATACGACGTATGCGGCATAGACCTCAAGGTCGCTGTAGCGGCCTGAGCGTAGGCGGCGCGCTGCTTCGAAGGAGGCCTGAGAGTGTTTGCTGAGGTCGCGCAGGACGCTGAGAGCATGGAGCTTGTGGGAGGTGCAAAGTATGGGTTGGTTCGTGGACTGCAACCGGCGGTGAAGGCGACGAAATAATCGGAAATGGTTGGCGAGGCGAGGGAAGAAATGAGCACGGTGTCTGCTGAACTGCCAACCCTCGGCCTTGAGGTAACGTAAGGCCGGTTGCCATTGGGATCATGGATCCAGGCCTGGTCGTAGTCGGGGTATACCGGTGGCAATATGGATGGTGGAATATGGAATATTGGGTGACGGTGTTGGTGGCATGTCAATATCGGAGGGAAAGTGCAGCTGAAATGGGTGTGTTCTTGGCCAATTGCTTGAGTTTGGCCCGTCGATTGTGTTCCCGGCCTGGGATGCCGATGGCTGTAGAGCCCACGTAGCAGTGGCCATGTTGATGGTAGCATCGTTGCGCATCGTAGGAGTTGAAGTAGAGTTTGATGTGGACTAATTTGGGCGAGAGAAAATGGGAGTACATATATAGGTGTCTGGGTGGATTCGGAGTTGGCTGAAGCGAGAACGCCATTGTTTGGAACGAAAGGTGGAGGAGGGAAAGTAAATAGAGCTGTAAGGTGGAGCATACCCAGGGCGTAAATGGCTTCGGCGCGATCAATGTAGCTGGCGTGGAGGATGTGCGCTAAAGCTTTGCGTAAGGCGCGTGTGTGGAAGTGTGGTGTGATTGGGTCCTCGGCGGCTCGTCCATGCGAGTCAACATGCTATGGCGGCCCCTGTGGCCACCAACTGCTGCAGGCTGCGGAGATTGATTTTGGTGACTTTGGTGAGCGGGATGCCGTAACGAACTGCAGCCTCTTGGAGCTGGGCTTCGGTGGTTCCGGATGATTGGAGAAGTTTCAGGATCTCGGTGGCCGAGTCTTGGATGGCTTCGTCGAACTGCTTGGACCAAGTGTTGATGTACTGGACGGACCATTTTGCAGGGACAGGTCGGGTAGCTTCTTTGTATGGAGCGGGCGGATGGCGCTTTTGTCGGCGGGGGCTGGTGCATGGCGCCGAATGGTGGTAAGGATAACGTCCATCAGTGGTTGCATAAAGGCTCTGGCATCGGTCGTCTTCGAGGGAGGAACGTTCCCGGCAGTGCGGTGCAGTGCTTCAGCTGTACCGTCCAAGTCGATGCGCTGCTCACGGATGCGCTGGATCAGGTGAGTCAAGTCGGAGGTGCCGTGGAACGCCAGCAACCTGGAAAAACCTGGAAGGTAGGAAGGCCTGCAATCTGACGATTGCGGCTCCGTGCCGAAGCTTGGATGCATTTGTGAAACCTGTTGTCCTCCAGACAGACATCCCAATGGTCGTCGGTTTGCTTGCAAGTGGTGGGGATGGGGGGTTCAGGAAAGGGGAAGAGCCCTGAGGATGGCGTGGTGGAGTGACCATGTCTGGTGTAGGTGAAGTGGGGGTGGAAGCAGGGGGAGGTGGGGGCGGTGGGAAGTCCTGCGTGGTGGCAGGATAGGGGCGCGATGCGGCTGAGGTCCACAAAGCTAATAGTAGTAGGGGTCCATACTGTCAGTGAGGCAAAGAATCAGGTGCTAGAAACACAAAAGGTATGTTGAATCGGATGAGCCAAACTTTCGGAAAAGGGAAAAGGACAACTCGCAGGGGTCGAAAGGGGAAGAACGTCCAATGTGAAGCAAGAATCACAGGGGGAAGTCAATGGGTGCATGCTGAAAAGAACCATGGCATAGGTCACGTATTCAGGAAGAAAAGGGTGAGCTCTGGCTGCATGAATGGCAAATCACAACTTTTTCCGCCGGAAGATGGTAGCTCGGCCAATCATTGGGCGTTCCTAGGATCCGGCCAACGCAGAATGACTTGGCGGGTCCACTCAGGCGCTGGCAAGGGAGTTGGAGTCGACGTAGATGGTGCGGACGATGTGGCTGTCACCGTCACGGTAGAGGACGGCGCCCCTTGGGGCACCGGTGGATCTTCAGGTGTCCTCCACGGATCAGCATCCGGATCGTAGTCTGGTACAATGTGAATGCCCCGCGCCGCGATGTCCATGTATGTTGAATGCGTTGGCGCATCTGGGTGGCCATATCGGAGCGGTTGACTGCCATGTGAGTGGTGCGTTGGTATTGGGAGTGAGCGATGAGAGTTTGGGTAGCGTGGTGAGGCGCCGAT